TGTTTTTTTTTTGGTACCAGGGATCGAACTTGGGTCCTTGCACTTGCAAGGTAGGCGGTGGCACCACTGAGCTAAATCCCCGGCCCTGTTTTGTGGTTTGTTTGTTTGTTTGTTTTTGTTTTTGGTACTGGGAATGAACTTAGGTTCTTGGGCCTTTGAGACAAGGTCTCACTGTGTAGTTGAGACTGGCTTTAAACTTGTGATGGTCCTCCTGCCTCAGCCTCTGGAGTGCTGAGATTTACAGGCTGCATCACCATGCCTGCTTCCCCTCTATTCTTTATTTGCATACTCATTTATTTTCTCCTCCTCGGAAAGCTGGAAAAGTTTGCTTTTCTGGAAGTTTATTCTGTTAATAATTACGTAAAATCATCTACACAATCTTTTGCTACTCACATTTTTAAAATATATTTTATATATTTGTGGTTATGTACCCTGGTTTGTATATTGCCTATTCAGTCTGTTCTATAACCTTGAATTGAGTCTTATTTATCCTTTTATCCCTGGAATTTGAACACCTTGAAGTAGCTTTTAAAACTTCTTTCTGTATAATACATGATAAGTATTCAGTAAATCGTTAATAGTTAGCAAAGTTTAGGAATAAAATTAAATGCTAGAGTAGATTAAGTGGCCTCCAGTCTTTTTCCGTTGACCTTTTCCTATTCACGATAATAATAGCCAGCATATTTTAAGCATTACTAAGTGTTAGGTAGTGTGACAGGTAATTAATAAGTTCTTGATTTATTTCTCTCTTTCTTTTCTCACAGCAGCTTTGTGAAAGTATGCTTTTATTTTCTCCATTTACACATGTGGAAATTGAGGTTTAGAATATATGATTTACTCAAGGCCTCCTTAAACCCAGGTCTTTCTGACTCCAAAGTTCATATTTCTGATTGCTACATCCTAAAAAATGTTTAAAGGTTTTATTTGTTTGCTTTTTAAGGACTGCCCCATTGAAGAAGTATTAAAAATTCAGTTAAAAATCTTAATCCAGGAAGATTTCTTACTTCCTGCTTTTATCCAAGTCCTCAGTTTGAAGAACTTTTCTGCCTTCTAGTAATATATCTGACTTTCACACAAAATCAGATTCTATAACACTGTTTCACTTCTGTTAGTTGTTCCAGATTTTGGGCAATAGACCCAAACCATTCTTGCAGTGTGTTCTCATGCTAGAACTACCAAACAAGTGTATTCATTAAATAATGCCAGAAATTGGTTAGCAGAATTTGTCAACCTGACAAGCTAGATCTTATAATAGTAGCATCTTCCAAAGAATAAGAAATTATTTATCCAATCATACTTGTAGATTCAACTTGAAAAGTATGCATGTGTGCAAGTGCCTATATGTGCACCTATAATCCCAGCTACAGGGATGGAGGGGGGTGTTGAGACAGGAAGATGGCAAGTTCAAGGCTAGCATGGGCAACTTAGTGAAACCCTGTCTTAAAACTAGTATAAGAAAATGAAAAAAAAGGCTGGAGATGGCTCTCATTGGTAGAACATTTAGGTTCAATCTCCAGTACTAAAAAAAAAAAAAAAAAAAGCATATGATCTATGCTTGAACTATGTCTCCAGCCTCTCAATTAATTTTAGGTACATTATATTTAATGATATATAGGCTAACTTATGTGAGCTTATGCATAAGCTTTCTTCCTAGCTTAGATATGCCATAGGACAGGTTTTGTTTATTTGCAATGCTGAGAATTGGACTTAGGGCCTTATGCATGCTAGGTGAGTTCACTACCATTTAGCTGCACCTCCAGTCTTATAATAACTGTAGTTTTGTTTTTTTGTTTTTTGTACCGAGGATCGAACTCTGGTCCTTGTGCTTGAGAGGCAGGCAGTGGACCCACTGAGCTAAATCCCCAGCCTATACTTTAGTTTTTAAATCTGGTTGTAAGGTTAAGAAACAAAAAGAAAGGGCTGGGGATTTAGCTCAGTGGTTCTGCCGCCTGCCTCCAGAGCTCAAGGTTCCAAGTTCGAGCCCTGGTAACTAAAAGGGAAAGGAGGGGGAGGGGGAGGAAAGAAGAAACAAAACCAAAAACCAAGCACGTTCTCTTCTTCTACACCTCCACCACTGAGATACATCCTGAGCCCCAAACACACTTTAAGGAATCTGTAGGGAAATTACTAGAAATATAAAATAATTGATGGAATTTATGTATTTTAATTTTGATTCTTTTTTTTTTTGAGATATATATTTCCTCCTTATTTGTTGTTCCCTTTACTGAATGCTTTTGGTATATGTCACCCTATATGACATGAAGTGAAGTCATATGATAGGCTACTCTGATATTTTCCCTGCAAGTTTTTAATGTGGTTTTACTTAAAAAAAAAAAACCAAAAAACTGGTAAAATTGGGGCTGGGGATTTAGCTCAGTGGTTTGGCTACCTGCCTCACAAGCGCAACCTCTCAAGTTAAATCCCCAGTACCAACAAACAAACAACAACATCAACAAAAAAAACCTGGTAAAATCTTTTTGTAGGTACCTTTGTCTTTTTTTTCCTTACGTATCCGTAGAGGGCATGGCAGGCAACTGAACAGATTGGTCTATAGAGAGGTGAGAAGCAAATAGTGTGGGAGTACAGATTAGATTCATGCTTATTCTTTCGTTTTTACAGGGTACTAGAATAGTCTCAATGTACAAGGATAAAGGGAAGAAGATAGGCGCTCTTTGGGTGAAATCTTTTATTTTTTTGGTACTGGGGATCAAACTCGGACCCTTTTGCTTGTGAGGCAGGCAGTGGAACCACTGAGCTAAATCCCTGCCTCTGCCCTTTTTTTTTTTTGAGACAGTCTCACTCTGTAGTTCGGGCTGGTCTCACTCACTGTGTAGCCCATACTAGCTTTAAACTCAGAATTCTCCTGCCCCTGCCTCTGGAGTATGTGCCTGACTTATACTAACTTCTTTTAAAGTTTCCAAGTGAGTTACCTGACACCAAAGTAAGTGTAACAGTTCATTTCTCACATTCTAGATAATTTTCTACCTCTAAATGTTATGTGTATGTGCTGCCGAAGCAAGCACACCTCTAAATGTTATGTGAATGGACAAAAGATCCTCTTAAAGGAACCAAGGGAATTTTGTAAAACTTGGAATTGGGGTAATTTGGATTCTGGGTTTTGGCCAGTTGTTTTCAGTGCATGAAAACTTAGTACTTCATGCTGTTTCAAGAAAAGGGAATTAAAAATAATGCCACTAAGGTAGAAACAATGCATTTCTTGGTCAGTTAGGGAATAAAAACAATAGAATTACCCATTGACTTTCCTATGGGAAGCAGAAGGCCTGTGAACTTGTAGTTATGGGGCACCCTTCAAAGGCTGGGCTTATTAAACAGTCTGTTCAAAGCACCTACCTGAGGTCCTTGTTTGGTACCTTTTAAGATACATTTTCTTACATATGATGCCTTAAGAGTAGAACTAGGGGCTCACTGTCACATAATCACTTTTCTCTGAATTGTCTTTTCATTCAGTACCCTACTATGCACTATACTGTTTAGTTCTTCACTCCAACTTTTCATCTATTTTTCCTGATTGAGTCTGGCACTGGACAAATTGTTATTTGAGCATCTCCCATGGTCACAATCAGTTGGTATATGGTGCTGCCAGAAATCTGATTGGAAGGCTGATAAGAATTCATTTATGTTTAAATTGCCATAATCTAAGCTCAGTTGTCTACTTTTGGGAGGCATTCACTGTGTGGTTATAGTTACTAGATCTTATTTTACCTGGACAGAACATCCTGAGTGTTATATAACTTGTGGAAGCACTTTGCTGTGTATTAAGCTGTCTTAGCTCATGTGATCTCTTCCATTGCAGATGAGCAGGAAGCATTGGACTCGATCATGAAGGACCTGGTGGCTCTCCAGATGAGCCGACGTCCCCGGGTGTCTGCATATGAGACCATGAAGAACAAGGACACGGGTCACCCAAATAGGCAGGTGTGTGTGGTTCTGGCAGAGCTTATCTAGATTTGTTGGGGAGGGATTTTCAAATGGATCTATGTGAAAAGCCAAGGCTACTCAAATACTGGCCCTGAATACTGTTGGTCCCTTTCTTTCAGCCTGTTGAATGGTGATATATGCCAACGACGTATGTCTGGAGTCCCAAAGCCTTGTGCATAGCATTTCATCTGCAGAGAATAATTCCTTCACTTGTTATGGGGACAGTATTTGTATAATTATTTTTCCTTTACTGAGTATTTGGCAATTATTCAGATTCATAATCCCTAACTCCTATTTTTGTTAACATTTAAACTTATGTGCCATGAGAATCTTCCTCTCACTGTTAATGTCATTTACTATCTTGTTTCCTGGGTACTTTGGCCTACAGAGAGGAGTGAACAGATGGGGAGCTCTCCCACTTAGTGGGTATTCAGTGCTGTGTCTGATGGCTCTGTTGGGCACGTTGATGAAAATTTCTCCCTGAAATTCTCCCTTGTGGTTCCCTCTCTTATTGGCTAACTTGCTCTCTCATTTAAATCTTGTCTGCCAATTCTTCAGAGGTACATTTGGATCTTAGAGAAAGTACAGTGGTACCTCGCTATACAAACTCAGTTCTCTCTGCAATTCTGGTCACAAACCAAACTGGACAAGAACTGAATCAAATTTCTCCGTAAGGTCAACATTGAACCTAGCCATTGAATTTGACTTGTTTCTCATCCAGCTCAGTTTGCAACCAGAATCATGGAAAAAATCAAATTTGTGAACCAAAGTACCACTGTATGAGGCTCTACAACTTTTTCTATCTGTGGTTTGCTAGATATAGCCTTCTAGAGTATTTCCTGCTTTTAGGAATTCTAGGGAACTGGAAGGAGGGGGGAGTCTTTTTGTTTCATGTTATAACAGAAGGATTAGTTTAGAGAGCTGCTTTGAGTGTTCTAATTATCTTACAAAATTGGGGTAACAGATTAGAGACCATTCTTGTACTATTCTCATACATTATTCTGTCTAATTGTGTGAACTTTCCCTTGAAGTAACTTATTTGTATTCAGAGCCACTTTTTGAAGGAACGTTTTACCAGAAGTGGGTCCCCTCCCCCAGGCTTGAGCCTAATGACCTCACTTTCCTTCCTGTCCATGTGCACAGCCACTCTAGTTAGCTGATCTTTCTCCAAACTGGACTATTAGCATGGATATCAGTTAGTGGGCGAAAAGGAGAAACTTTCTTGGAGGACTCGAAGGGACCACTCTGGGGAAAAGAGGACTGAAGTAGTCTCTGATAGTCTTTAAGAGGGGAGGGATTGCTTTTTGGGAATCCTGTTTTGAAACTAAAAACTACCATAGAAGTCCTGACTTTTTAACTGTGCCTGCTGCTGTGTTAGTGGAATGAAATCAGTGGCTTTGAGATTGTGAAAAGGATTGATGATTGGTTAGAAAGTAAATTTAACAAGACCTATCAGCTCTTCGGACTGCAATTTGCTTGAATAATGTCAAACTTTCTTCTGTTGCATGGAGGATACACATTATTAACCTCAGTTTTTTTGTTTTTAAAGAAAAAACACAGCAGCAGCAGCTCAGCCCTTCTGAACAGCCCCACAATAACAACAAGCTCATGTGCAGGGGCCAGTGAAAAAAAGAAATTTTTGGTAAGGACCCATACTGCCTGTTAAAGCTGAAATGTGCTTTTTAATTTTGCTTCTCATGCTAGAAGAGTAAAATTAATTTCCCAGACAAGTGATTTTGGTGGATTTGTAGGGAGCACTGGTTATTCTAGTCATCATACAATTAGATGATATTATTCATAAGCAGCCTTTATTGATGCTGTCCAGTAAACTTGATGATGACAGAAATGTTCTGTATTTATGTTGTCTATTATGGTTGCCACTAGCCACTTATGGCTGTTAGAAACTTTATTTTAAATTTTATTTAAATTATTAAACTAAAATTTTAATTTAGCCATATGTGGCTGGTGGCTATAGTATTGAGTAGTACACCTTTATATACTGTAAGGCTTACATAGTATGTAAAGTTCTACTGCCTAGTACAGACTTAAAAGGGACTGTTGATTTGTTGGGCAAAAACTTAAGTGTATGGAGGTGGGCATGGTGGTACACACTTGTAATCTTAACATCCTGGGAGGCTGAGGCAGAAGGATTGTAAGTTAGACTGCAGCCTGGGCAACCTAGCAACGTAGTGAGATTCTGCCTCAGAATAAAAAATGTAGAAAGGACTGAGGATAAATGTCAGTATGAAGGTCTTGAGTTGAGTCCCCAGTACCACCAAAACGAGGGGACATTAAATGTCTCTTTAGAAAGGTGCAGATGGATACATCCATTCCTTCTACATAGGTCATGAGTTTCTTTGCATTGTGATAAACTCATCAGTGGGAATCCTAACATTCTGTTCTTTGGGGAATGGGAAACTGTAGAAATAACATGGCTGTTTAGAAATTGAAGCTCAGAGTTTTAATATTGGGTAATATTAGGTCAAGGGGTAATGAAAATGTCAAAATAGCCTTTCCCCTTAATGAAGTCAAGGTTGTAAAATGTTTTCTCCTGAGAAGTACAGCACTTTCTGACCAAGAGAGCAAAAAGAATTCAGTTCTGGAGAAATAGGGTGAGATAGGTATGTGGGGAATGCATGGGGGAGAGGTATTTGCAATTTAGTGTAATAAAAAGAACCTGGTCATGTTAATGTGTGAAAATAGGACTTTACAATTTATTGAGTAAATTAACATTTATTATTATTTTTCCTAGCATAGGCCTAGGATAGAATGGAACAGGGTTTTGGTTTTTCTTTCTTTTTTCCCCATTACTAATTCTTCTGCTAGAAAGTCCATGCTTATGAAGAGAAAGGACTAAAAGATCAAAAACTAATTTGAAGGCTAAGAGAAGCCAAATTGGGTTAAGAAATGTCAAATTGAACTAAAGATTCAAATTGCAGAGTCACAGTTGAAGGTAACCCAAGCATTTTGGCTAGCGATAAAGGCTGTTTATTCATGGTGGACTGATGTTGGCAGAGGCAAACAGTCCCTCAGTGTGAGAATGGTGGTGTAGGCTACAAAGGCCGAGTTGAGATTGGCACAACTTCATGGGACTCATGCTTGGCACAGCTAGGAAAGCCAAAAAGCTGAGTTCATTGACAGGATTGTTTGAGGGCTGAGTCCTGGAAGAGCTGGAGAACCTAATTCAAACTCTCTTGGCAGAATTTTAGACATCCATTTCCTTAAATAAACAAGCTGAGTAACCAATTGAAGGAGAGAATGCATTTGATAACAAATAAGCATTCTGAGGAGCCATAGGAGTATATGGGTAATGGCGTACTCAGCTAAGAGGTAGGTTCTTTTCTCTGCATTCTCCCTTCTGTATGTTAGATCCCTGGAGATTTCCAGCATGGTTAGATGTTGTGGCTTGAGTCTGTGGATGATTTTGCAAGCTGTGGTGTACAACACTCTGTCAGCTGACATACACTAAGTGCTTTATGGGTGCTGGTTCTTTGTGGATCTGATAACTTGATAAAGTGAAAGAGTACTAGCCTAGAAGTCCTAGAGTTATTTGTTTACCATCTGTTTACGTATGAGCTTTTCAAATTATAGAGTGCTTTCCACAACAACAGTTAATAATATCAACAATTATAAGAAAGTGTATAATACTTTTAAGATTTCCAGAGATTTTACACAGAGGTATTAAGTAGAGCCAGATAGCAAACCTAGATCTTCTGACTCTTTCTCACAGAAGTTTTACCAAATGTAAGTCATATAATCTTGGGTTATGGGTTTTCTTACCCTTGTTGTTATCATCTGATTGATGGTCTTTGCAGATTTCTGAATCTAGCCTAATTTCTGAAAACCACAGTGAAGGAAGAAATACAATCCTTATTTCCCTGGATTCTTGTTTCCCTTGAATCTTATCAAAATGGTAGGTAGATGCTTAAACAGAATCTGGGATCTGGGTCTGACTCTCCAGATACTTACTAATAGGTTCTTCAGAATGGAAAAGCTGCTTTCTTTATGGAAAGCACTGGTGGGGCAGGGCTTTTGCTATCAGTCCTAGAGGAAGGGAATTCCGGGAGCTAGTTCCCCTAGCAGGGTCAGTTGAGTAGACTGCCTTTTGCTCTTACAGTGATAGACCTAGCTCTTCAGAGTTTCCCTTCTCTTCGAGGATTATTGATAAGATGGGCTGGCCAGTTTGAACATAAGATATACAATAACATACAAGCCTGACCTTATATTTTGTAAGACTGATTCATAATCATTTCTTCCATTGTTCTCTCTGACTTTCCTGAGTCATGATTGCAAGTAAAATTTTTATTTTTCTTGCCTTTTTCTTTTATTTACTTACTGTCTGGCAAAATAAAGACTGCAGTTCCAAAGAGCCATTGAAGTTATATACAGCAAATACAAGAAGAGAGGGTAATACAAATCAGAGGATAAGAAAGATAATGGCTAACTGAGGTGTTTGCCATTAGATCATAAACTTTTGTGTAATAAACAGTTTGATTTTGATAAGAAAGATAATGGCTAACTGAGGTGTTTGCCATTAGATCATAAACCTTTGTGTAAAAAACAGTTTGATTTTACTGAATTTCCCCAGAGCACTCTTGGATTGATTACATGTTCAACCACAAAGTTCAGACTTTGAGAGGGTCGTTTCTGCTTAAGTTTGATGTTATCAGTTCCCCCTTACTGTCCCTGTGAGTTCCCAAATCTGTAGTATAACCTTAAGAACTGCTCTGTCCCTCTTCTTTCTCCTTCTCCTTTTTTTTTTTTTTTTTTAAATTATAACCTGTCCCTCTTCTGAGTGTGACTCTCACTCACTATTCTCACCAGTTAACTGTGATGGAGAGGGGATTTGAACCTTCCTACATTTTTTAACTTTTTTCCTCGCATCTGTGGTTTCTCTTCATTCCGTTCAACAGTGCCTATAGTCAACCTTCTTAGATACACACACACAAAATATGTAGGTTATGTGCCTTGTATCCCAGGAATTATACAGTCTTATTCAGGAAATGAGAATTACACACACACAAAAAAAGAGATTATGGTAGGATGTGATTGTATCTAATTAATTGTATGGTTCTGCTATAGAAAACCAGGAAAGTAAAAGGCATAAACTTGGTCCAAATGCACTAAGGAGTCATTTCAACTGGAGGTGGCATTTTAGCCAAGCTGTGAAGAATGTATAAAAGTTTAGCTGGTTGTGGAGGAGGAAGGGGGAACTTCAGGTCAGAAAAAAGATGATTTAAAAGGTCTATGGAAAAAGAACAAGTATGGTTTACTGTATTTCAGAAATAAGAGTGAGCATTGATTTGGTTGGAGAAGAGGGTTTCCATGGGGAGCAAAAAGTGTGAGATGGTTAAGTAAACTAAATGAGCCTAAATTTCAGAGGGCTTCAAATGATAGCAGAGAATTTAGACTTCATTCTCCATAGGCCATGGGTATCCCTGATCACTTTTTGAATGAGGAAGGCATATATTGAATGAGATAGATAAGATTGTTAGATCTGTAGAGGAATGTAGCATGGGCTGAAGGCAGGAAGCTGAGAGGTACAGAGGTGGCTTTTGGAATCCAGGTGACCTACAATATGTCAGAAAGAATGGAAAGCGAAGTTTCGAGTGGAGGCCTTTGAAGTGAGAATTGGAACTTGCTGTCTGAGGGGAGAAAGGATCGAGTAGATCTCTGAGCTTTAAATTTGTATAACTGAGAACAGCAGTACCAAAACTAGAAGTAGCAACACTGAGAAGGGAAACTAATTTTGGAAGGTAGGTAATGTAGACATATATGGCCAGGTCAAGTTTTGAGATTACAGTGGATGGACTGGGGATTTAGCTCAGTGGTGCTGCTGCTTGCCTCGCAAGCACAAGGTCCCAAGTTCAATCCCCGGTACCAAAAAAAAAAATAGATTACAGTGGGAAAAAAACTTTTAAAGTATGTGAAGTGTGTGTGTGTTGTTCCCACCCACCCAGTAGTGGGGATCAAACTCAGGACCTTGCACTTGCTAGGCAGCCAGGTTCCACTGAGCTACATCCCTGACCCATGTGTGTTGATTTTTGCAGGTCCACAGTCTCTTATGTACAATCTGAAATCCAAAGAATTCTGCACACTACAGCTTTGTTTTGTTTTTTAATTCGTAGCGAACTCATTGGCAACAAAACTTGGTCTGAACAGACAGAGATATTCATAGTCTGTCTTTATTCCATTTATTGTGCATATTTGTACTTTTACTACAAAAATTGGATAGCTTGGAAAACTAGTTTGTACTGTGTTAACAGACAAACTGCAGACTGTAGAAACTTACGATGATATGTCTAGTATGAGGAAGGAGGACAGTGTTCCCTTATAGTCACTTAGCAACTTTGGTCAAGGGAGCCTCACTATCTTGGGCTATGTGACTGGGGAGAAGTTTAGCATCCGTTCTCTTCCCAGCTCTTGGTCAGAGCTAGACAAGTGGGGGGAAAAATACCTAAACTAACTTCAGGAAATACAGGGGAGTGCAGGAAATACTTGTGAGCATTCTGCCTCTCTGATAGGAGTGCTGTCCCAGCCACCCCCTCGCTCCCCTGGGAAGATGAAGGCATCACATGATACATAGAATACATACCACACTACCTCAGTAAGTCCTAAATGTGCATTCTGAAATATTTTTGGCCTCAGTGGTTTTGATTCAAGCATGATGGGACTATATTATCACTTATTGAGCCCTTATAAATTGGGTATTATTCTAATCTCTTTACTTGGTTATTATTATATGTAAGTGTAAATCCATTAGATAAATACTGTACTATCATTATTTTTACTTTAAAGACAAGGAGACAGTCATTGAGAGGTTACATAACAAGTTCAAGGTCACACAAGAAGCTATAGAGCTAGGAAGTAAAGTCAGTGGTTTGACCCACATGCTACATTTTTAACAACTGCATAATCTGCCTCAAATACATAACAAACAAAGTTTTGCTTCATAGATTGGGGCTGAACATAGAGATTTGAGAATCTTCTTTTTAGAGACTGACTTTTGATTAATTGTATCCCTATTGAGGGGTATTGGAGGGGAAAGGCACCCAGAGATTAAAAGCCCATGGTCACATATGGGACGAGGGGACAAGAGGACACAAAGAAGAATCAGCAAAGAAACAAGTGGCTAGAGTTGGCTACCAGTACAAAATGCCTCCGAGAGGTGAAGGAGAAGAGTTGGCAGGAAGGAATTGAATAGTTACCTTTATCTGAACCATCCTTATCTGTGGCTTCTTTGGTTGGTTGTTTGTTTGTTTTGTTTTTTTTTTTGGGGGGGGGACCGGGGATTGAACTCAGGTCCTTTTGCTTGCAAGGCAGGCGGTGGCACCACTGAGCTAAATCTCCGGCCCTCCATGGCTTCTTCTTGTGAGCCTGTCAGGGGAAATGCAGATTTGGGCACATCACATGATACGTGGAAGCCTGCAGCATGCTCTGGGATGGCTGTCATGGCATCAGAGATGGCATCTTTGTTTGTACTGTTTAGTAGTCCCAAGCTTGATTAGGCTTGAATACAAGTGATTTGTGATTTGGAGCAAAAAAATCTGTTACATTTCTGACTAAATTCATATAGAGCTGTGTTCCTGTTACAGCCCATCATGAAATAATTTAGTTCCTTCAGTCTGTAAGGAGACTGAGGAGGCTCCTTCTTGCCACAGTTTTTAAGATTGAAAAAATTCAGATAAAAATCAACAGAAAAAGACATGAGGAAATTTGAATCAACTGTGGGCTTTAGTTGATATGTCAATATTAACTGATAAGTCAGGTGTAGTGGCACATGTCTGTAATCCCAGCACTCATGAGTCTAAGGCAGGATTGCTGAGAGTTCCAGGACAACCTGGGTTACATATGAGTTCAAGGCCAGTCTAAACTACATGTTAGATCATAGTACAAAACAACAACAACCAAAAAAAAACCCTGATTGTAGCAAAAGGAAACATCCTATGCTGATGTAAGATGTTAATAATAGGGAAAACTTGTGTGAGGGGATTATATGGGAACTCTGCTCTAGCTCAAATTTTCTGTAACTTCAAAAAAATCTATTAATTAAAAAAGTACTAATAATGAGAGGTACACTAAGGTGTGCTGGGCTGTAGACAGGAGGAGTGGAAGGGTGTAGTAACCTACCTACAGGGGCAGAAAGGACTACAAGATTACTGAGTACTTGGGATGCTCCAGAGCTCGTTGTGGGAGTAGAAAGTGGGAAACTGGAGACCACATGTCCGCTCATGACAGCATGTCTGAAGGACCATGCTTTGGCGGGCTTTTGTTACAGCAGTTGCTTAGAATAGTGAGGGAAGGAAAAAAAGACACGGCGATGAGAAAACTGCTGACACTCATAAACCTTGAATCCATGTGGCATCTCCCTCCACTGCACTGCCCTGCCTTCTGTTCATGTACTGTACATATGTACACATGCATGTGTTCTACCTGGAGTGTCCCAATCCACCCACAACCTCAGTCAAAGGCTCCCTTCTGGTTTCAATTTACTACATGATTGGTGTCCTGGTGTCTAGGTTCTGACTCCATTGTTACCCTAGATATGGGGAGCTTTTAATCTCTTTCTTTATGAATTCCAAAAGGGAAGGTCACATAAGATTCGTTGGTAGTGTTGCTTTCAGTTGCTGCCGATGGTCCCATTGAAGCCTTGCCATCCGTGAGTGAAATAAGCCATTTGACTGTGTAACATTGAGCTTGATAGTCAGGAGCCAGGCTTCTAGAGTTTGAGTCCTGGCTCTTACTTTACAAACAGTATGATGTGGGGGCCAGGGATTTAGCTCAGTGGTTCCAGCGCCTGCTTCGAAAGCATAGGGATCCAAGTTCAATCCCCGGTACCAAAAACAAAAAAAAAAAAACAGTATAATGTGACCTTGGTAAACTTACTGAACCTTGTTGTAACTCAGGAAATTTTATTTATCTTTGGTAAAATAGTGATAGTAATAGTACTTGTTGTGAGAATTAGTTTAATTAATATATGTAACATGCATAGAACAATTTTAGTATGCAGTAAGTGCTCAATAAATGTTAGCTATTACTGTATTATAAATGGTTCGTGTTACATGAAAACATAAGAGAGCCATATTGGGGCTGTATTTGAAGTTAGCACATTACATGCCTTGTCCCAGCTGTCTGCTAGTTAATACATGTACTTTCCAGGGACCCTAAGTTCTTGGAGCTTCACTTTCCTTATCTTTAAAATAATGGGTTAGAGGATAGTATTCATATTTTCTAATTCAGTGATTCTCAAAGTGTACTGTGGGGACCATCCAGGAGACTTCTAAGAACCTTTTGAGGCCAAGATGTACATTTATGATTTCATTTGCCTTTTCTATCCCCATTCTCTTTTGCATGCTCTCTCTCTCTCTTTTTTTTTTTTTTTTTTTGTATCAGGGATTGAATACAGGACCTCATGATTGCCAGGCAGGGACTGTGCTGCTGAGCTAAATCCCCAGCCCAACCCTCATTCTTTTAAGAATGTACAGTGGAGTTTTCCAGAAGCTACATGTTATGTGTTACTGCAACACATTGAAAGTAGAAACAGGCAAGAGAATTCAGCTGTTGTAGGCCATGCATTAAAGAGATTTGCATTCTCTCACTAAATTTTTTTTTTTGGGGGAAATCACGATTTTTATAGAAGATCTATTTATATTAGTATCTCTTAATTGTTATTTTAAAATTTAAAAGTGTAAATTTTCTGTTTTAGTTTCTATTATAGTAAATATTAGTTTAAATTAGCCACTTAAAAGCTTAGTTTTCAATAATTTTTAGAGAATAAATTAGAACCATTGTTCCAATTCAGCAGACTGGAAGAGAATTCTAGCTCTTCAAGGGAGAAGGGAGTCTTTTATGTATTCTCCCTACCTTTCAAACTCCCTTTTCTGTCTTCTTCTCTGATTGCTATTTGCTCTCCACCTTAGAATCTTTGAAGCCCTTTTCTTTCTTTCTTCAAAGCCAGTCTTTTTTTTTTTTTTTTTTTTTTTTTTTTTTTTTTTTTTTATGATACAGTCTCACGCTGTAGCCCAGGCTAGCTTCAAACTTTGGCTGTCTTCCTGCCTCAGTTTCCCAAGTGCTGGGATTACAGATGTGCACCTATCATGCCTGGCCAAGTCTTGGATTTTTTTTGTTTTTTGAGACAGGGTCTTACTGTGTAGTTGAGACTGACCTGGAACTTACTATGTAGCCCAGGCTGTAAGTCTTGGATTTTTTGAGACAGGGTCTTGCTGTGTAGCTCAGGCTGCCCTTGAGTTTACACTTGAAACCCTGCTGCTTCAGCCTCTCAAGTAGTGGGATTATAGGTACGTGCCACCATGCCCAGCGTAAGCCACAGTGTATTGTTTGTCTTTTTTTTTTTTGGCATAATGTTTTACTGAGTGACTGAATTAATTCTTTCTTCTCTTCATCTATTATTTGCTGGTTTCCTGACAATCTTACTCCCCACCCCCGCTATGTCTTCTTCTGTAATATCTCTTCCTGTCATTTTTCTAACTCCCTCAAATAATATTTACAATATTTATTTCTCCTGGATTTGTTTCTATAATGTTTTAATACTTCTACTTCCCTATATTTTTGACATTTAGCCTCAGTTCTGTTCTTCGATCCATTCACCCACTTAACAAATATTAGGCACAAATATTATATGCCATTCCCTTTGCTTGGCCCTGGGCATATAGAAACAAGATAAAAATGATTCCTGCCCTCCCAGTTTATATGTCCAAGAATGCTCACTTTGGAGAAAGCTGGGAGCAGTGTCTAGGGTAATTTGTTCAGGGTCCTACTTTACTCCCTCTATGATAGCCTAGTGAGGATTGTGGGAAATTATGGTATGGTAGAAATAGCAGCAGCAAAAGCAAAAAAATATTTATCACGTCTACTGCAAGTCAGGCATTTAGTCCTCATAGCAACTTTGCAAAGTATGTTTAACCCCACTCTACAAATGGAATAACTAAAAATCACAGAGGATAAGCCACTTGTCTGTGGTCTGCCACAAGATTTATTTAGTAGATTTATTTAGTAGTATCAATCAAGAGGGAAAGGTATCCTGGTGAAGAGGTGTATGGTAGGAGAAAATGCAGAGCCAGTTATAGAAATAGAGACTATAAATCTAGACACTGAGCTGGGGCAGGCACCTAGGGATCTTATCCCAAGAGCTTTGTTGCTTTTGAGATTAGAATTGGAAGTTGTAACTCATTGGAAAGAAATGCCTTTCCGGGTAGTAACTGGATGAGGAGCCATGAGGTATTAGCCCAATGTTGTTAAAGGACTGCCCGAAGCTTACTTGGGAATGGCTGGAGTAATGTATACTAAAGAACTCTCTAACCTGTTTCATTGCTTTTGGCAGAGTGACGTCAGAATCAAGTTTGAGCACAACGGGGAGAGACGGTAAGTTGACTTTGTGTGTGTTGTGTTTGTGTGTGTTGAAGTTCTCAGAAAGCACTGAGTTTAGAAAGCCTGTCATGATCCCTGTGGGACTGATGGCTGAGGAATGGGGTTGATTGTGCATAAAGGGGAAAGTTTCATCCTTGTTTTGGCCTACAAGTTGACCTTGTCTTGGAATTTGATGTCCTTTCAGCTGCTGCTGTTTTTTTATTCTCCTCTATTCTGCTATTTTGCAGAAGTGAAGGCACCAGCTCTACTCAGAGTCATGACTTCCATATAAGTGACCTTGTGCCACCTGTGGGCAGGAGAGGGAGGTTGGGATGGGTCTGTGATGCAGTTCCATTCCTATTCCCTATAGAGTAGCCCTAGCTTTTAAGATCAGCATGGTGAATTGGAAGATTCTTCGTGATGTTTCTAGGTCATGGGAAGCTGTACCAAGTTTATCAGTTTTGAAGTTTGATCTTTTGAGGACACAGAGGAAGTTTTCAGTTTATATTCTAAATGTTATCACATTAGTACAATAAAAATAATGTTATAAAACTCTTCTTTATCATGAATTTTTTTTTTTTTTTTTTTTTTTGGTATCATGGATTGAACTTGGGTCTTTGTGCTTGCAAGGCAGGCGGCGGCACCACTGAACTAAATCCCCAGCCTTTTGTTTTGTTTTGAAGACAGGGTCTCACTGTGTAGTTCAGGCTGGCCTTGAATTCACGATGTACCCAGCCTGGCCTCAAACTTTTGGCAATCCTCCTGCCTCAGCCTCTAAAGTGCGTGCACCACTATACCTGGCCAGTCACGAACATTGTAGTTATCATCATCATCATTTTATGTGGGAAGCCAAGTAGAAATTCTCAATGGAGAAAAATGTGACTCCATTTTTTTTTTTTTTTTTTTTTTGTTATCAGGTTTAAACTCAGGACCTTGACTTGGGAGACGGGAGGTGGAACCACTGAGCTAAATCCATGCCCCTAATGTGACTCAATTTAATTTCTCAGTTGTCTGAAGGAAAAGGATTAAAAGGAATACAGGACTCTGGTCACAGAACCTTGTATGTTTATGTGTGTGGCCTATGTGTACCTAAGGGTGCCTCTTAGCATTAGTTTCCCACTCTTTGCCTCTTCTTCCTGTTGCTGTCCCCACTCTTTCCCTTTGCTTTGAGTGTTTGGAGAGGTGAAGAGTGTGCTTATGAGAAGGTCTTCAACTTTGAGAGTCCCACTGTAGGACCTTAGTACCTCCAACATGTTCTTCATTCTGGGAGAGCTCTGCAGCTGGCATCTTTCGACCCACTTTAAAGCTAGCTCCATATGAGATGGCGGGCTGGTGCTGTTTGCTTTTTTAAAGATCCATTCACAAGCCTGCAAGGTTGTTAGAGGCTGTCTGTTAGAAACGTTGTGGAAAGTGTGGTCTGTGGAACCAGGGTCCTGCTGCTCCCTTGTGGGTTCTAGGACTATTCCAAGTCTAGAAGGAGGAAAGTCTTCTGAGCTCTGTCCACAGCTCTCAGCTTGCATCCTGGCAGAAACAAGGAAATTAAATTGCTACTTCATCATTGCTGCTTTTCACACTTTCTGATTGAATGGGTTTTGGAAGGATGGCCAAATTGGAGTAGCAGAGAACTGTTAGAAGTAGATATGAAATGAAAAGCTCCATTGTGTTGAAGCCTAATTATTCAGTTAAACTCTTCTAAATTTTCTGTTGCTAAAGTGGTATGCAGTTACAGTGAGTGAATTTACACTGAGAAAGTGTATGTGTTTGGTTTCAGAGAAGCTGCCAGATTGAAACCACAAATATTTAAGGTGGTCAGACAGGAATGGCCTTCTGAAGGCCTGAGTGAAAGAATGTTGGTATCAGGATTTTGAAAACTGTGCATTCTCTTTTTATGGATCTGTTTTCAGGAGCTGTGGCGTTTCACCGTTTGTGTACTATGTGTGGAACTGCTGAGAACTTTAGAAAGTTGGTATCAGGAAGCCAAGTTCAAGCTGTTCTGTGCCAGAGAGCTCTAGTTTTCATGTATTTTATGTCCTAGGGTTTTATAGAGAATGTCCTTGTGGGCTTTCTTCATTTTTTATGGGGAATGTGAGCAGTATCTTTCAAAATACACACTTTTTACAGAATTAGGATTTACAGAAAAAGAGATAAGTAGTGACTTTTCTCATTCATTCATGCCAGGTATCCATTCCAGTGGGCGGATTTTGTCTTTGTTTTAAGAGGGTAAGGACCAGAATATCCCTGACCCTCCACCCTCAGCCACTGGGACCCACAGAGGCATTATAGATTAAGATCTCTGTCCTTTATGGCAGGACACTGATAGGGTAGTGGTTCCAGGTTTAAATCCTTCTTTTAAACATCACTCAAAAAATGTCTGTTACTGGGCCAGGGATTTAGCTCAGTGGTGCTGCCTCCTGCCTTGCAAGCACAAGGTTCTGAGTTCTATCCCCAGTACCATAAAAATGTGTTTTAGTCAATAAGACTAACAAGGGGACGGGGATTTAGCTCAGCAGTTTGGTGGCCTGCCTTGCAAGCGCCAAGGACCCAAGTTCAATCCCAGGTACCAAAAAGAAAAAAAAAGAGCAACAGTTTGACTCCTACCAAATCTGAAAGTTCTGATTTCTTTTTTTTTTTAACTTCTTTTTTTTTTAATTGATACATTTTAGATATACATAATGATAACATTCATCACAAGAAATTTGTACCTATAATGATATGTCTTGCTTCTTTTTTCCCATTCCCCTCCCCTCCATTCAACCTCTCTTCCCCTCCTTATTTAAAAAAGCTTTGTTTCCATTTTTTCTTCTATTCACATTTTTTTCTTGTCTCTTCCTTTCCTTTCCCCTCACCCTTGTTCCTCTTCAAGTTTGATATTTTCTTCCCATTTCCCAATATCTGTTATACATTTTTGTCCTTACATTTTCATTTTCTTACATCAGAGAAACAGTGTGGTATTTAAACAAGTGTATCCAATTTATTTCACTTAAGTGTATGGTTTCAAGGTACATCCATTTATTTAAAAATGTCTCAAGCTTATCCTTCTTTGTGGCAAAAAAACAAAAACACATCTTTATCCATTCATTGGTTCATGGGCATTTGGGCTGTTTCCAAGATTTAGCTATTACAAAGTATGCTGCTATAAACATGGGTGTGCATATTTCGCTGTGGTATGATGCTTTTAATCTTTTCAGGAAGATACCAAGAAAGGAAAAAGCTGGGTCAAATGGAACCTGTGGCTTTAGTTTTCTGAGCCATCTCCACACTGATTTCCACATTGGTTGCACCAGTCTACATTTGAAGGATTCCTTTTTCTCCACAGTCCTGTCAGCATTTGTTATTGGTTTATTTCTTGATAATAGCTATTCTTTCTGGAATGAGATGGAATCTCAGCATTATTTTAATTTGCATCTCTCAAATGACCAGTGATGTTGAACATTTTTTCATATATTTATTTGCTGTTTCTACTATATCTGAGAAGTGTATTCATTTTAGATGCCAATTTTTGGATTGGGTCTTTAAATTTGGGGGGGGTCTGATTTGTGGTTTTTTTTTTTTTTTTTTTTTTGAGTTCTTTATATATTCTAGATATCAGTTCTTTGTCTGAAGAACAGCTACAAAAATTTTTTTCCCACATTGTGGATTGTCTATTCACTCTGTTGGTGGCTTCTCTTGCTGTGCAAAGCTTTTTAATAAGATGGGATCCCAGTTGTTGATTCTTTGTGATATTTCCTGTGGGATCAGGATTTTGTTCATAAAATCTTTGCTTACAACAGTGTCTTTTTTTTTTTTTTTTTAAGTACCAGAGATCGAACTCGGGACCTTGCACTTGCGAGGCAGGCAGCAGAACCACTGAGCTAAGTCCCCGGCCCACCAATGTCGTAAAGAGTTCTACTTAGACTATCTTCCAGAAGATTTAGTGTTTCTGTTTTAATATTTAGATCTTTGATCCATTTCAATTTTAGTGTAGTACATTGTGAGAGATATGGGTCTAGTTTTAGTTTTTGGCATATGGAAAGTCAGTTTTTCCAGCACCATTTATTAAAGAGGCTTTCTTCCAGTAAAGGTGTTTGGCTCTTTTGTCAAAGATGAGGTGGCTGAGTGTGTTTGGAGTTGTTTCTGCATCTTCTGGTCTATTCCATTGATCCTCCGGTCTGTTTTGTTTTTGTTTCTGTTTTTTTTTTTTTTTTTGCCACTAGCATGCTGTTTTTACCGCAGTAGCTGTGTAGTATAATTTCAAGTCAGGAATTGTGATGCTCTCTACTTTTGCCCAGAATTGCCTTTTCTGTTCTAGGTCTCTTCTGGTTCCAAATGAATTTTAGGATTGTTTTCTCTAATTCTGTGAGATATGCTGCTGTTATTTTGGTTGGTATTACATTAAATTTGTATAGCAGTTTTGAAAGTATGGCCATTTTCTCTATATTGGTTCTTCCTACCTAAGAATAAGGGATTTTTTTTTTCCATTTTCTGATATCCTCTTCAATCTCCTTTTTCAATGTAAAGATCTTTTACTTTCTTTGTTAGACTGATTGCTAAGTATTTCTTCTTTTTTTGGCTTGGTGCTATTGTAAAAGGTGTTTTGGTTTTTTTTACATTTTTATTTATTTATTTATGTATTTTTGGTACCAGGGATCGAACTCAGGACTTGTACTTGCAAGGCAGGTGGCGGAACTACTGAGCTAAATCCCCAGCCCTAACAGGTGTTGTTTTCCTAATTTCTCTCTCAGTGAGTTTGTTATTTGTGTACAGGGATGCTATTGATCTTTTGTTGGTGGTTTTGTTTTGTTTTGTTTTGTTTTTGAGACAGCCTTGCTTTCTAGTTCAGGCTGGCCCTGAACTCCCTATGTAGCCCATGTTAGCCTTGAGCTCAAGATGATCTTCTTGCCTCTGCCTCCCGAGTGCTGGGATTATAGGCGTTTTGGGGGTCTTCTGTGTATCATGTCTTCTGAACTAATAATAGTTTTTTCCTATTTATATTCCTTTTATTTCTTTTTCTTGACGCATTGCTCTGGCTAATGTTTCCAGAACTATTTGAATAAGAGTGGTAACAGTGGACATCCTTGTCTTGTTCCTGATTTTAGAGTGAATGTGCTTTCAGTGTTTGTCCATTTAATATGAAGTTGGCTTGTTTGTTTGTCATAGATGGCTTTTATCAGATTGAGATAAAGATCATCTATTCCAATTTTCTGTAGGGGTTTTATCATGAATGGGTATTGGACTTTGTCACATGCGTATTGTCCATCTGTTGAGATGATCATACGGTTTTTGTCCGTGGCTCTGTTAATATGGTGTATTACATTTACTGATTTGCATTTGTTGAGCCATCCTTGCATCCCAGGGATGAATCCTACTTGGTCATAGTATGTAATGTTCTTGATAATTTGCTGTATTCTGTTTGCCAGTATCTCATTAAGGATTTTTACATCCATATTCATCAGGAAGATTGGCCTGTAGTTCTCTTTTCTTCCTTTTTTGGTTTTTGGTATCTGGGTAATTCTTGCTTCCAGGAATGAATTTGGGAGTATTGCTTTCCTTTTGACTTCATTAAAGAGTTTGAGAAGTAGAGTCATTAGATCTTCTCTAAATTTCTTGTAGAATTCAGCAGTAAATCCATCAAGGCCTGGGCTTTTCTTTGTTGGTAGGTTTTTAATTACATCTTCAATTTCATTGACTAGTACTGGGTTATTTAGAATTTTTATATCTTCCTGATTCACCTTTGGTAATTCATATGTATCTAGGAATCAGTCCATTTCTTCTGTATTTTCCACCTTATTATAATACAGTTTCTCAAAGTAGTTATTGATGATCTTCTGGATTTCTGCAGGACCTGTTGTGATTTCACCCTTTTCATTCCTAATTGCCTGGATTTAAGTCTCTTTTTTTTGATAAGGTAGGCTAAGGGTTTGTCAATTTTATTTAATCTTTTAAAGAACCAACTCTTTGATTCATTGATTCTTTGTATTGTTTTCTTAGTCTCCATTGTATTAATTTCTGCTGTGATCTTTATAATTTCCTTCCTTGTATGAGCTTTGGGCTTGACTTGCTCTTTTTCTAGAAGTTTAAGGTTAACATTAAGTTGTTTGTTTGATCTCGGTTTGTTTTTCTGATATGTGAATTCATTGCTATAAATTTCTCTTATAGGACTGGTTTCATTGCACCCCGTAAGTTCCAGTATATTGTGTTTGCATTATTATTTCATTGTAGAAACTAATTTCTTTTTAAATTTTGTCTGTGATCCATTGGTTGTTCAAGAGGGTGTTAATTTTCATGTGTTTGTGGCTTCTTTCAACATTGATTTCCATTTTCATACACTTGGATTAATAATATTAATGAGATAATTTCAGTTCCTTTGCATTTATTTACATAAGCATGTTTTGTGAGCTAGTATGTGGTCTGTTTTGGAGAACTTCTCATGTGCAGCTGAAAAAAATGTATTCTGATGTTGTGATGGAGCACTCTGTAGACATCTGCTGAGTCCATTTGTTGAAAAGTTTGGGGGCCGGGAATTTAGCTCAGTGGCCTCACAAGCACGAGGACCCGAGTTTGATTCCTGGTATATAAATAAATAAATAAATAAATAAATGTTTGGTTCAGTTTTGATATTTCTGTGTCTAGTTGATCTATTTGTAGCAGTAGGTTATTGAGGTTCCCCCATTGCAATTGTATTAGTGTTAATTTGATTTTTCATGGAAGTTCTGACTTCTGATCTCAGTCAACTAACAGGTAGCTTTTAGGGGTTTTGAATGGCTCATTGACAGACCAAATACATGATAATAAATCTCTAAGCCTGATTCTTTTCTAGGATTGTGCTAGGAACATCTGGAGTGGACTTGTGTTTTATCCAGAAAGGCCTTTTTTTTTTTTTTTTTTTTTTTTTTATTTCTCAAAAAGCTTTTTTTTTTTTTTTTTTTTTTTTTAACCTACATGAAAACACAGCTAGTGTGTCTTTCATGTGTGGCTAGTGAGACTAAGGGAACAATTTCAAATTTAAATTTAATTAATTTAAATGGAACCATATGGCTAGTGGCTGCCAAATTGGATAACACAGTTCTAGATGATAAAGGTTTTCATACTGCTTGTTGATTTGATCCAGCCTAGCATAGAGAGAAGCAATAAAGAATTATCTTGTCATGTTTTATTAAAATCCACTAGTTTAGATCCTTCTTTTCTTATGGTTTATGGCTTCTTCCTCTAGTTATACCACTTCCCACTCTGTGGGGAGCAGGGAAGATGTGAAGGAACCACACAATTCTTCCTGTCATTGTGGAGGAGGGCAAGCAGTGTAGAGCACATAGCTGTATGCTGCTGTTACCTCACAAGGCTGATTTCATCCTGCTGAGGCATACTGGGATGGAGATTGTTTTAATATGCAGTGTCCTAATCATGGAGTAATTTTTCATGTGTATATTCATAATTCTTCTGTAAATTGTCCCTTTTTCTGTGAAGGATTTTTGTCTTTTTAATGATTTTCGTTAAGTATTTTCTCCAAGTTTGATATACTTTTTAAAGATCTTCCTTGATGGTTTATTTATCCGTCAAAAGTTTAAATTTTTGTTGTCAAGCCTATCTTCTTGATTTTTGTTTATATTATATTTAGGAAGACATTTTCTACTGTAACATATTTTTTTAAAGGTAGAATCTCACTCACTGTGTTGCTCCTGGTGGTCTTGAGTTCTTAGGTTCAGGCCATCCTCCTACTTCTGCCTTCTGAGTAATGAGGATTATAGTCACATACCACCATAGCTGGCCAAGATTTTTGTTTTTATTGTTTTGTTTGATTTGGTTTTGGTTTTTGGAGATAGGGTCTCACTGTGTAGTTCAGGCTGGCCTTGAACTTGTGGCAGTCCTCCCTGTGCTGGATTATAGGCATGTGCCACCATGCCTGGCATGATTATTTTTTTTAATCTATATTTTGTGTGTTTGCGTGTGTGTGTGTGACATTCTCTTCTGTTCCATTTATCTCTTTGTTTATTTTTATTATTCAGGTTCTAGGATACTAGGTTGGACCCCTTATGAAATTGCTACCTTTGTGTATCAGAAACAGTTGACCATCAGCAATCCTATATAATTAAGCCTAATGCATAGATTAAAACGTTTAATTATTGCCAGATGTGGTGATACATTCCTGTAACTCAGCACTCTGAGAGACTAAGGGAGGAAGATTTTAAGTTTGAGCCTGCCCTACGTAATTTATTGAGTTAGCAAAACTGTCTCAGTAAAACATTAAAAAAGTAGTTCATTGCAAAGGTCAGGAGTTCAATTCCCAGTACCACCAAAACAAACAAAAAGCCCTTTTATTTATTTATTTTTCACTAATATTTTTTCTCTCATTGAGTTTATTGGTACATTTTAGGTATACAGTAAAGTTACATTCATCATTGGGATCTTGTACCTTTGGGAAGGGAGGAAAAAGCCCTTTTATTATGAAAATTTCCAACATGCATGAACGTAAATAGAATATTATACTGAACACCTGTGAATTTGTCACCTATCTTCTACATTATCAACATTTAGCCAATATTGGTTTATCTATCCCCACTTTTTACATTTTTCTGGGATATTTAATAGCAAATCATTTTAATATCTCTTTGCTCGTTCTTACTCAGCTTTGTATGTATAGAAATTATTTTTTGAACTGACCTAACGAATCTCTACAGAAAAGCTTCAATATCAACATTACTTACCTGCCCAGATATGACAATGGCTTAAAAAATGCTGATCTGGTCAGGCACGTTAGCACCTGCCTATAATACCAGCTACGTGGTGGGCTGAGGCATGAAGATTAAGTTTGAGCCCAGCCTGGGAAAATTAGCAAGATCCTATCTTAGATTTTTAAAAAGAGCTGAGAATATAGCTCAATACAAAAGCCCTGGGTTCAATCCCTAGTACAGTGAAGAAAAGAGAAGAAAACTGATCAAACATATCATCAGTGCAAGGGGAATTCCCATGATGTGAATCTCAATTCTGAGAATAATCAGTACTGTATTGATATTCCTGTGGCATCTCAAAAATGGACGCTGGAAAAGACCTTTCAGATCTTGGAGTTGAGTAACTTAGAAGTTGAGATGATGTATTCAAGGCTGCTGCTTTGATTTCTAGGTTTTCTAGCTTATTTCCTAACAAGAATATTTGAAACATAGTGTTTAAATCTAGTGGCCTGCTGGGATACACACTGCCACTGGCTGAAACATCCAAGCTAACATAGTGGATTGGATGGTTGGGAATGAACAGTGGTCGTGAGCACTATTGTCAGACCTGAGAGAGGTTCACATGAAGGGCAGAAGGGTAAAGTAGAAAAGAGAAGAAAAAGAAGCAATGAAGAGAAAGGCAAGCTGAATAAAATAAAACAAAACATAATCTTATGTTAGAAAGGGAAAGGATACTCAGGCTACTGCTTTCTAAACACTGTTTTAAGTATACAAGTATACAGTTCACCAACTCTCATGTTCTTTTCAGAATTATAGCATTCAGCCGGCCTGTGAGATATGAAGATGTGGCACACAAGGTGGCAACAGTATTTGGGCAACCCCTTGATCTGCATTATATGAACAATGAGGTAAGAGTGGTGGGTGGTGCAGAGTAATGGGGATTTGAGGGAGTCGAGTTGGTGGGCAAGATAAACTTGGCAGGCTCATGGCTCTTTGACAGTCACTTCCTCACTGTGTAGTTATATTTGTTGAAGAGTTAGAGATTTTCTTCATGGTTTAGAGCCGACTGCATTGGCACTCACCTATACTCTCAGCTACTTATGAGGCTAGGGCAGGAAGACCACAAGTTGAAGTTGGCCTGAGCAACTCAGCGAGTTGCCTGTCTCCAAAATGTAAAAATAAAAAGGACTGGGAATGTAGCTCAGGGCTAGACCACCACCCCCCAGGTTCAATCTTACTATAAAACAAACACACAAACAAAAATGAAATAAAAAGAGCTGAGCATGTAACTCGATGACAGAGCTCTTGGCTATTATATGCTAAGTCGTGGGTTTGATCCTCACCACACAAAAAAGAAAAATTTTTTTTTTAGTTTAGGGTTGAAATCTGCAGGTGCTGAGAGCCCCTTCTAAAGAAACATACAAATGCAATTGAGTATACTATGAGACAGTCTGATCTTTTGGGCTTTTAAAATAAATTTTAGAAGTATGGCAGTTTTCAAAAATAAATCACTAACTCTGAAGTTAATACAGTTGCACAGCTGGGATTGTTGCTTGGTGGTGTCACACCTGCCTGGCAAGCGCAAAGTCCTGTTCAACCCCTGGTATTGGGAAAAGCAACAGCAACGAAAAGCTAGGAGTCAGTAATAATACAGGTGCAGATATTTTGAGATACATAAACTAGCCAGTCATGGAGGCACACATCTGTTATCCTGGTACTCTGTGAGGCTGAGCCATGATCAAAAGTTTGAGCCCAACCTAGGCAACTTAGCAACTTAGCAAGATCCTGTCATAAAAAAAGGGCTGGGTATGTAGCTCAGTGGAAAGGCCTGGGTTCAGTTCCTCCCCCCTCCCCCCACCCAATTCCAGATATCCATACTTTGCATATTATACTGGTATCAGTGAGCAGGAACTGACTTCATTTTTTTGTTTGTTTTTGTTTTTGAGACAGGGTTTCACTATGTAGTTCAAGCTGACCTTGAACTCAGTGATCCTCCTGGCTCAGCCTCCCAAGTGCTGTGATTACAAATGTGTGACACCATGCTTGGCTTGCTATATAATTTAAAATTCCCTAATTCCTTTCTTTTCTTTGCCCTTTATTTAAACTCTGCCGCACCAGGATTTGAGGAGTTCAAATGAAAAATCTATTGATGTTTTATTTAATTTTTATTTTTAATAATACATTTTATTGAGATAGAATTCACTTAGCATTTAGTTCACTCTCTTAAATATACAATTCATTGGTTTTTATTATATTCATAGTTATGCAACCAATACCATCAGCTAAGCCAAAACATTTTTATCACCCTAGAGAGAAACTGTACTCATTAGTAGTCATTCCCTATTCTCTTCTTCCTCAGCTTTTAGCAACCACTTATTTTCTGTCTTTGATTTTCTTATTCTGAATATTTTGTATAAGTGGTATGATACACTTATGTGGCCTTTTGTTTGTGGCTTCTTTCAAAGGTCATCCACACTGTAGTATGTATCAAGACTTTATTGTTCCTGGACTGGGATTTAACTCTGTGGTTCTGTTGCCTGCCTCACAAGTGCAAGGTCTGGAGTTTGATCCCCAGTACCAACAACAACAACAAAAAAGACTTTATTGTTCTTAGGCTAAATAATAAATATTCAACTCCACAGATGTACCACTTTTTGTGTATCCATTAATGCTGATGGACACTTGTTGTTTCCAGTTATGGATAATGACATGATAAACATTTTTGTACAAGTTTTACATATCTTTTTCAGTTTGCAAATATATGTATAAATGAAATTGCTCGGTTACATGGCTAGTCTAATTTTTCTTTGACTGCCCAAACTTTTTTGTAATGGCTGCACTATTACTGTACATTCCTACTAGCAATGTTTAAGAGTTGTGATTTCTCCACCATTCTCAGCAACACTTGCTCTTTTCTCTTCTTTTCTTTTTTCGATTTGATTGTTTGTATTTGTTTCTGAGGATCAGACCAAGGGCCCTTTACGTGCTAGGTAAGAGATCTGCCACTGAACTACACGCCCAGACCCTTCTGTTTAATAGCCATGCTGGTGGCTGGGGAATGGTATGTCATTGTGGTTTTGATTTGTATTTTTCTAATGACTAGTAATGTTGAACATCTTTTCATGTGCTTTTATTTTTTATTTTGAGACAGGGTCTCATTAAATCACTAAGTTGTCCAGGCAGAGGTTGAGCTTAATATCCTCCTGTCTCAGCCTCCTGGAATGCTAGAATTACAGATGTACACCACTAGACCTGGCCCTTACCCATTTTAAAAGTTGGATTTTTTCCTCCGCAGTACTGGGAATTGAACCCAAGGTTTTCACACTGAGCTACATCTTCAGGTCTTTTAAAATTTTATTTTGAGATAAGATCATGCGTAATAGCCCAGACTGGACTTAAACTGACTCCTGCCTCAATTTCCCAGAGTGATAGAATTACAAGCCTGTTTCACCATGCCTGGGAGATTATTTATCTTTTTATTGTTGAATTGATTGAGTTTTTTATGTATTCTATATACCAGCCTCTTTATACATTTGCAAAATTATATCTTAGTTCTTTGAAAGTTAACAACTGTTTCAGTGATTTCTTTACCTCACCCTGAAGAACAGATCTTAGTTATTCCTATTTTGAGTGTCACTCAGTCACCTAGGAAGGAATTCTTTTGTAGTATTATGATTTGCAAAATCATAATAAAAAATCCTCTCCCATGAGTAGTTTTGAGATTTTGTTTTCCTGTGCTGGGGATTGAATTCAGGCCTTGCACATGCTAAGCAAGAGCTCTACCAACGAGCTATATCTCCAGTCCTTTTTATATTTATTTTGAGACAGTCTCACTAAGCTAGGCTGGACTCAGTCTTTAAATCTCAGTCTCCCAAGTAGCTGGGGTTACGCATATACCACCACACCCAGCTAGATTGTGTTTTATTTCATTTTTTTCTTTATTCATTCATTTGTTCATTTATTTTTTGATACTGGGGATTGAACATAGGGCCTATGTAATCACTGAACTACATTCTCAGCCCCTTTCTACTTTATTTTGAGATAGGGTATCTCTAAGTTGCAGACTGGCTTCAAACTTGCATCCTCCTGCCTCATTCTCCTGAGTAGCTGGTATTACATTTGGTGCCACCATGCCCAGCTGAAGTTTTATTTATTTTATTTTTATCTTTTATTTTTTTGAGAGAGGGTCTCATTATGTAGTTCAGGCCTGCCTTGAACTCAACATGTAGTCCAGACTGGCCTTGAACTCAAAGCAGTCCTCCTGTCTCAGCCTCCCAAGTTGCTGGGATTATAGGCAGGAGCCAACATAACTGGCTCTGAAATTTTGTTCCAAATACTATTCTTTTGTGGGGGGAATTGAACTTGTGACCTTGTGCTTACAAGGCAGGCAGCAGCACTACTGTGCTAAACTCCCTGGTCCTCAAAGACTAGTCTTACTATTTGTTTTTTCCTAGTTTAAGATTTAGAATTCTTTCATCTCATTGTATTATAAATTATAAACTGAATTAATATGAACTTTTGCTTTGGTTTTATTTTCATCAAAAATGTAGAAGTTATAAAATCTGTTAGGTCCTAGGCAAAACATGCTTTTGCATCTTTTAATACCATGTGTCCATAACATTCTCTGCTTTAATAGTGAATGAGACTTACTGTATCAGTGCCTAATTTTCTCTTTAATAATTGAGTGGAATAAAAATGGAGGAGATGGTTTTCAGTCTGATTCTTTGTCATTAAACATTAAGATATTTAGTGTTGCTCTGTGCTCTAAATTTGTGCTCTTATTTGAATAAGTTTTCATCCCTTGCCCATCCCCCTACCTCTCCTCTGCCTTTCCTGCTTGCTCTTTTGACGTCAGCACAATTGGAGACTGGGGTTGAGGGTGGGGATTATACTGCTTACTTTGGAATGAAGTATGGAGATGTGGCTGTTTAGGATTTGAAGCTTTGGAGTAGACAGTATTTTTTTTTCAGAGAGGAAGCTGTTCTCAGAAATTGTCTCAAACAGAGTAATGAGATGTGCTACAGCAGTGGATGAACAAAAATCATTTAAGTAAAAGAAGGTAGATGCAGAAGACTGTGAGTCTTTGAATTAAGTTGAATATGTATGAATTGTCTGATTCCATTTATATTAAATGTCCAGAAAAGGCAAATCTATAGAGACAGAAAGTAGATCAGTGGCTTCCTGGGGCTGGAGGTAGAAAGAGGGGGAGTGATGTAAATGGGTACAACAAGAGATAGTTCAGGAGTAATGGCAGGCTTTGAAAACTGAGTTGTGACGATGACTGCACAACTTCATAAAGTGACTAAAAATTATTGAGTTATATTCTTAGAGAAAGAAATCTCTGTGATTTCAGCTAGATCTTTTAAGACCCAGTAGTATCCAATGAGATTGTTTTCTCTAAATTTAGTTTTTGTTTATTATTGCAAACTGAAGCACTGAGATAGATTTGTAGTTTATAATTTCCTTTTTCTCTGTCCTGTGTCACAGCTCTCCATCCTGCTGAAAAACCAAGATGATCTCGATAAAGCAATTGATATTTTGGATAGAAGCTCAAGCATGAAAAGCCTTAGGATATTGCTGCTGTCCCAGGACAGAAACCATGTAAGTAGTTGCTGTCATGGCCTGGTGAACAAAGGTGAAGCTTGCTTTCCTCCAGAACTGCTTTGCTTCCTTGTCAGAATTCTGTGTTCCTTAGCCACTGCCAAAGTGAGAGCCTAAGTGGAACCTAGCTCACTGTGTCAGTGGCCAGCATTCGCTTTCATTCTGCATTTGATTTCACTGAAAGCAAGATTGTCAGTGTCAAAGTTACCACTGATGATGATTGGGCTAGTAGTGTGGGAGGCAGGAAAACACTTTATGATAAAGGAGAAAATTCTTTTTCTCTATATTTATGTTTTTTCAATTAGATTTTGACCCCACCAAGAAAGATTTGATTAGTGTAGGGGTGCTATTCGGCAAAGGATATGAGACTATCATGCTTTGTGAACCCAACTCCCATAACTCAGCAACCTTGCCTTTCCTTTGGGACACTGTAGGAAACAGACTTTTCTTTCTATTCAAGAGAAAAAAAGGTCATGGGCTGAAAGGCTGCTGCCTTACCAAATGGCAGGCAATCTATGGGAGCTGTCAAAAGGGGGAATTATCTCTTATATAATTTCCTCTGCTGTATGGTCGCTGGGGATATACTTTTCAAAAGAAGACTTGCAATCTTAGTCTATCAGGGTTTGTTTTGTTTGGTTTGGTTTTGGTTTTTTGAGACAGAGTCTTGCTATGTAGTTCAGGCTGGCGTTGAACTCACTCTGTAGCGCATCTAGCCTTGTACTTGTGATCTTCCTGCCTGAGGCTCCTGAGTGCTGAGGTTACAGGGGTACAACACATGCCCACCTGCATCTGCCTTTCAATCACTGATTTCCATACCAGTTTCTCCAGATGAATGTTTCTTAAGGTCTTCTTTGCTTTCATTATACTTGCAGACAGTTGACTGTGTGCACAACTGACATGCTGATGAGAACTATGGGCATAACATACCAGGAAAGCATTTAGGTGGAATGGTACTCATGATGACCATTATTTGTAAAGAGACTTGAGGGGCTAGACTGTCATTGATTGGGGGAGAATAAGAAAATGTAGTTAAGAAAACATAGAATAAAGCAGATCACCTTCAATATTACAGAATTGTCCCTGTGCACAAGGAATGCTCTTCTTGATCCCAGTGTATCTTCTGGATATCTTAGGAAATATTCTGAAGTAAAAGACACACTTTATCATTTAAATTCTGTCCTGTTACCCTCCTACTCGATACAGTCCTTTACTGCCTATCATGTAAGATATAATTTAATCTAGCTTCCAAGGTTCACCATTGACTGTTTCTACTTTTAGCTCCCCATTCTTGTCTTCCCACAGTCCTTAGCATACACCCCCTACTCTGCAGCCCATGGTTTTTCCTCTTTGTTAGTCCATGGTTATCACCTTTTTTATGGTTTTTTTTTTTGGGGGGGGGGTACTGAGGATCAAACTCAGGTCCTTGTGTTTGCAAGGCAGGCCACTGAACCGCTGAGCTAAATCCCTGGCTGGGTTATCACCTTTTTTTAGGATCTTTTACTTACTACAATTTGTTCAGCGTTTTTGACTGAGGCCATTTTGATTATTCCTTATTCCTTCAGTCATTGGTTATAATTTGTACACTACTTTGTAAGTTATATAGTAGTTCCTTCTAGTTGCACATTTATAAGTTTTACTCCAAAGGATTATAAACTCCCCAAATCAAGAGCTAGATCATTATTTTGGAAATCCTTCCTCATTTGTTCACTAAAACATAGTGAGTGCTTCTTGAATTGTTGGCAAGAGTGAAGCAGAGATCATTTTCAACACCCTTCTTCCCTAGACAAGAAATGGGAATTGGAGTTTGGTTTAATGATGACTTGACTGGGAGCTAGCACCTCTGATGTGATTGTGATCCCTTCACTCTCCTGATCACCTGATAAGAAATTATAGACAACTGGTTCTTTACACCAGTGTTCTAATGACTAAAATGCACCTGGCTGCAGATATTGCTGCAGCACCCAGAGCTGTTTGAAAGATGACCAGCTGAGGTCTGACCTTCATGGCCTTGCATAAGACAAATGGCATGTCGATGCCTCTCTCTCTCTCTTTTTTTTTGGTACTTGGGATTGATCTCAAGACCTTGAGCTTGCAGGGCAGATGCAATCCCTCTCTTTTTAAGGAGCTATGGAGCTATGTTTTAAGAAATTATAATAAAGTCAATATAAGTTTTTTAAAATTAAAAAAAAGAAGGCTATTTTACATAATCCTATTACTATAATACATTTATTGATATATGCGGTTCTTATGCCTTTCTAGTCTTTGGTCATATTGAATATGTACCTTATATAAATGTTTTCCTGGTATTCATGCAATTTTCTAATTTATTTTTTTGCTTAACATTGTCATTAACTGGGCATGGTAATGTAACCTGTAATTCCAGCTATGCAGAAGGCTGAGGTAGGAGGATGACAAGTTCAAGCAAGCCTGGGCAACTTATTGAGACTCTGCTTCTACAATAAAAAATAAGTTAAAAGGGCTGAGAATGTAGCTCTGTGATAGAGCATTTGCCTAGCTCATGAAATGCTGTGTTTGATCACTGGTACCACAAAAAAACCACAAAAAAAAACCTTTTCTATATACATAGATCTTCATAACTATAATTTTTAAGGATGCATAATTCTCTTGAAGTGGATTTTTTTTTTTTAAATATAGGCTCTTGCTTTGTATTTCAGGCTGGCTTTGAACTCAATATATAGTCCAGGCTGGCCTTGAACTCATGGCTATCTTCCTACCTCTGCCTCCTCAGTGCTGGGTTTACAGGCATGCACCACTGTGCCTGACTTCAGATTTATTATATAGCCATATTTTGCTACTGTTGGTACACTTAAACTGCTTCCATTTTTTTGCATTTGTAAAGATTTGCATTTATGCTGGGAATGTAGCTCAGTGGTACTTGCCTAACATGTACAAGGCCCTGAGGTTCAAGCCCTACTACAGACAAAGGTTTGCATTTAAGACTAACAGTGGCAATAATATCTTCTCTTCCTCACTTAGATCTCAAAAAAAATTTTTGTTTTTGTTTTTTTTTTTTGGATGGGATTTTTTTTTTTTTTTTTTTTTTGAGACAGGGTCTCACTATGTAGTTGAGACTTACCTGGAACTCACTATGTAGCCCAGGCTGGTCTCGAACTCACAGCGATCCTTCTGTCTCAGCCTCCTGAGTGCTGGGATTACAGGTGAGCGCCACCACGCCCAGCTCAAAAAAATTTTTTAAATAGGGTTTTGGTTTGTAGTGTAGGCCCTTGAACTCACTATGTAGATGAGGCTGGCCTTGAGCTCTTGATCTTCCTGCCTGAGCCTCCCAAGTGTTGGAATTATAGGCATGCACTACCACACTGGATATAGACATCAGGCTTCGAAATATGTAAGAGAATTATGATGAAAAAAAATCCTGTGTGCTCTGGAATCCTCACTTTCAGAACAGTGCTTCTCTAACTGTGGTGAAATACTAGTTTTATTCTTTTAATTTCCAATCTGTTATGGGCCAGTTTAAAAAAAATTTTTTTTTGAGATACATGTATGAATACTGAAAAGTGAAACGGAAAAGTAAACTAAACTCTTCTAAAATAAAATTTTAAAATAATAGACATGAAGCACTCTACCAAATTTCTGTAAAGTTTTTCAAGAGTTATTCTCCCTTTCTGTACTTATCTGGTGGGGGACTAGTATACATTTGTGGTCTGGCACCATCCCAGAGATCACACTTGAAGTACACTGCTCCAAGATACCACCTTACCTGGTTTTTGGTTCCCCCTGAAAGCTGTCAGCCACTTTGTTTCTCCACGTTGAGTAATTGCCCCATCCACATTTTGTAACGACCTATTCCTTTCCTTCTTGCTGTTTTTTGGTGGGGAGGGCAGGTGCTGTGGGAGTGTATGAGGTAGTCTCACTGTGTAGTTCATGCTGGACTTGAGCTCACTGTGTAGCACAGGCTGGCTTGTAATTCATGGCAATCCTCCTGCCTCAGCCTTCCAAGTGCTGGAATTACAGATGTGTGCCATTATACCCAGTTTATTCCTGTTATTAAATAGTCTGTCTCTTTTTTCTTTTTGGATTACTTTTCTGTCTTTATCCCTCAACCGCGGTATAGTCATGGCCAAAGCCATGTTTTAGACTTCAGTGTTGTTCTTATCTTGGGATTACTGCATTTGTTAACCACAGACCTGCCTCTGTGAAGAGTCTCTCTGCCCTTGGTTTCTACTGTCATTTAAGATATTTAATTGGCTGCCTCTATCACCAACTCTTAGCTTCTCTTCCTTTCCCTCTCCTTCCTCCTCTCCCTCTCCTTCTGCTTCTCTTGCCCCTCCCCCTACCTCTCTCCCTGTCCCTTTCCCTCTCCCTCTCCTTGATATTTAAAGACTTCTTTTAAACATATATGCATAAAGTGGGCCAGGAATTTAATTCTGTGTAGTACTTTACCTTTAAATTTGTGCTCAGTGGAACACAAGGTCCCAAGTCCAGTCCCTGGTACCAAAAAACAATATATGCATAAAATTAATTCTTCAATTTATCTCTCTGCTCCTGACCTTCTTATAACTTTCTAGTCCAGACTTTTCCACTATCATAACCTCAAACTTAACATTGCTTTGTCACTTGTATCTGAATATGATAAAAACTAAAATACCCAGCCATTTTGTTCCCTCAGATTCTTTCTGACCAAAGGAAACTTCTGATGTTTTCATCCAAATGTTGCCCACTGCTCAAGTTTCCTATCAGTGACTTTGGCACTATCTTACCTACTATTTAAGTTCAAACTGTCAAGGATAATTTTTTTTAGCCTTCCTAAAATAATGGGATAAGAATAGGAAGATAAAACTTGTTGAGCAGAGTAATTTCTGTTTGCTCCATGGTTAAAAATAATAACACCAGGGCTGGGGATTTAGCTCAGTGGTTCAGTGGCCTGCCTTGCAAGAAGGACCTGAGTTCAGAGTTCAATCCCTGGTACCAAAAAATAAAATAATAGCACCTTATTTTCAAAAGGTGATTGCTTTCATCTCAGTCATTCTTACAACTCTGAGGAGTCCAAGGCAGGCATCTGTCATCTCCGGTGTACACCGGGGTAAACAGGGTGGCTCATCTGGCCAAGGCAGGGTGTGTATGATGGCAGAGCTGCTCTAGAATCCAGGTGTTCTGTGTAGTCCTTTACCTGTCAGTTACCATCCAGGAAAGTAACCCTAAAATTACCTTAGTCCCTAAGAAACCTTGCCAAGGACCCTCCATGGCTGGGTAGCATTAGAACAAAAAGTATAATGTTGGGCTGGGAATTTAGCTCAGTGGTGCTACCGCCTGCCTCGCAAGCACAAGGTCCTGAGTTGGATCCCTGGTACCCCCCCCCAAAAGTATAATGTTCTTGAGGAAAAGTTGTTAGATGTTCTATTTTCTATGGTATAAAAGATAACTGAGCTTGGAAAAATCCTGAGGAAGACAAAAATTTCAAGGGGTTTTGGTCACTTTTATACGTGAATAGTGTAAAAGGTCACAACTCTTTAGTCAGGAAAGACAGTCAAGCATATATATGATCAAAATTGTCAAATAATTTAAAAGTATAAATAGCATAGATTTAGTAGCCTATTCTCAACATGGATAAACCCTTTGAATACTGGGATTTATTTTAGAACAAAGGGAAATAAGGATTTTTATAACAAGTTGTAAACTTAGCCTTATCTGAAGTTGTGTGGTTTCAAAACAGATTTTTGCAAATGATTTTAAATGAAGTCATGGATAATAAAGATGCGGATTTAATTAACCTGCACTAGCATCACTACCATGATCTGTGCAGATGTCTCTTGGTACCACCATTAAAGCAGGGGACTAAATGGGATGCTGTTGGTGAGATCCTGTGTGTCATCTATCTTGCATTTCCACGTACCAAACTAAAGTAGCCCTGTCCCGCCTTTTGTCCCTCTCCCTAGTTGAATCCATTTGTTCCTTTTATGTCTTATCACCAAATCTTTTGAGATCACTTATGAGTCAACTTTTGCAATAATTTTCTGCTGATCTCCTATCTTCCGGGTCACTGCTCATCTTTTTTTTTGTTTTGTTTTGTTTTGTTTTTGTCAGGGATCAAACTCAGGACCTTACCCTTGCAAGGCAGGCATGGTGCCACTGAGCTAAATCCCCAGCCTTCACCGAGGTTTCTATAAAGTGGTCAAATACCATCTTCTAGCTGCTCTATTTAGAATGTTCTGGTAGCTACATACTTCATTCATGTAGGCTCCTTTCACTCCATGACAGTCTTCTATTATTTTTAAATATAGTTGCATTTAACCCCTTTCTTTCTTAATGTTGAATCTTGTTCAAGATACTATGAATCCTTATAACAACCTCATTTTTGTTTACTATGTTATTCTTTATCCCCTCAAATTGAGGTCTTTGAAACGTGGTTGAATGTTATAATCTCTTGAGATTTAAAAATTAGCAGTGCTTGGAGCCCATTCACCGAGATTCTGTTGTAGTTACCCTGAGACCTCAGGAGCTATGAAGACAGTTTGATGAGCAGCAAGGGTTGGGACTGTTACCTGAATTGGAGCATGCCTCACCTCCTGAGACCTCACCGATCGCGTTGTAGATTATGGACCAGCAGCACCAGCATCATCTGTTAGAAACACAGCTCCTTGCCCTACCTAGACCTACCACATCAGAATCTGCACTCACAAGACTCCAGGGAGTTTTTAAATGTGAAAATTCAAAACGTGAAAAGCCCTGTTCTGAAATCTTCACTCATTTCCCTGAGCTGCTTTCCAAGCTGTTGCCATAACTTCAGCCTTTTCTTTTACAAATCTTGTGTTGGCTGTTGTACCTACTTTTGCTGGTTCAGCTTTTTTACTTTAAAACTGAGGGTTTAGAGAGGATATTCTTTGGTACATTTCAAAGTCATGCTGCCAAAACTCAGTGAATTCCCACTGTGTGGAAGGCCCTGGATCCAACCAGGTGTCTCCAAGACACTTGTCATGTAGCTCTTTGTGGCTGCAGAGCTGTGGCCCTCCCTTGTCCTTTATGAACTTGCTTCCCTGTGTGTAGCTTTGGCTGTTTTTTCCTTTCTGACTCTGAGCAAAGAGCTATTGCACATCAGAGGCTTCAGCAAGAACACTCACTTCCCCTTGGTTCTTACTTCCCGTTACAGCAGACAGTTTGTCAAGACAGCCCTGCATGTGATAAAGTCTGGCTTAGGGAGCCTGGAAGAAGGCTGCTTGGCAGCTGAACTTGCCCTGGGGAGCGGGAAAGCCTTTTTCCTGAAGGACAGGATATAGAGATTGTTTAGGTTGGACTTTTTTTTTTTTTTTTTTTTTTTTTTTTTTTTT